AAAAATACGGTATTAAATAGTCTAGGGAGGTAATAGGTCCTCATGAAAGTTTAGTATCGCAACAGCAAATTCGACCAAAGTTGGGGTATTTTTCAGACCCTTATCCCTTTTTTAAAAAATAAAATAATTCAAATTTATTCCGATAAGCCTTAAAATTTCATACATGTAACAATTGAAGATGAGGTACATAATTAAAAGTGATATACATTTCAACTGATTAATTTATCCACTTGATACATTTTAGAATTTTAGATTATGCCCAAAACTCTTTTTTCAAAATTTAAATCAAAAGTTATCATGGCATTTTAGACTAAGGTCTAAGGTGAACTGGAAATGGCCAAATCATAATATGGGAAAAATAATCCAAAGGTTCATATCAACTTTATCATCCTTTTCAGAAGTTCACAACACAATCAAACAGTTGGTTGTGAAGGGGAAATATGATCAAGCCCTTGAGCTCTACACTGCAAAAGTTCACTGTTCTGATGCAAGTAGTACCTTCCTTCTTCCTTCAATCATCAAAGCTTGTGTTCATGATCAATTATTTGGTCTTCAGCTTCATAGCTATGTCCTCAAAAATGGGTATTCTTCAGAATGTGCAATATCTAATTCTCTTATATCAATGTATGCGAAATTCTTCGAAACAAAAGCTGCGTACCAACTGTTTGATACAATGCCGGAAAGAGATATCATCTCGTGGAATTCAATGATAAATTGCTATTATATGAATGGATATTTGTTAGAATCATTGAAGTTGTTTAAGGAGATGTATAATGTACAGGGTTTTGTGCCAAAACCTGAGTTAATAGCTAGCGTTATATCTGCTTGTATTCAGATCAAGAATTTAAAACTAGGAAGAGCTATCCATGCTCTTACAGTAGTTGATGAAAGAATGGAAACTTCGATTTTCTTGACAACTGCTTTGGTTGATTTTTATTGGAAATGTTGTGAGCCAGATTTGGCTTTTCTTGTTTTTCAGAGAATGGAAGTGAAAAATGAAGTCTCCTGGACTGCCATGATATCTGGATGCATAGCTGAGGAGTTGTATGCCAGAGCGGTTGAGTTATTTCGTTCAATGCAGTTGGAAAATGTTAAACCAAATAGAGTTACATTGACTAGTATATTACCAGCTTGTGCTGAGTTGAAGTATGGAAAAGAGATACATGGATATGCATTTCGCCATGGGTTTGACTTGGATACTAAATTTTCATCTGCTATTGTACACATGTATTCTGGATGTGGGGAAGCATTGCAGCCAATGAAGAATGTATTTGATCGGTCAACTAACAAAGATGTGGTAATGTGGACTGCTCTCATAACGAGCTATACTCGAAATAAATCTAGTTGTGAAGAAGCTATAAAGCTTTTCAATGAGATGCTGCTGAGTGGAATTCAACCAAATGATGTTACTTTATTAGCACTAATTTCTGCTTCTACTAATCTATTATCGGTATGCCATGGGCGAGGAATGCATGGCTATGCTTTTACAAGTGGTCTTAGTTCACATTTGTTCATTGGTAACTCCCTCATAAACATGTACTCAAAATGTGGTTTTCTGAAGGACTCTGCTCAAGTTTTCCAAGAGATGTCTATAAGAAATTCTGCATCATGGAGTGCCTTAATCAATGCTTATGGGACTCATGGTTTTGGAAATAAGGCGTTGGAACTGTTTAATGAAATGAAAGAGAGTGGGATAAAGACTGATTCAATTGCATTACTTGCTATTCTATCAGCATGTAATCACTGCGGTCTTTTTGAGGAAGCAAAGAAGATCTTTAATGAAGCATCAAAGGATAGAAGTTGCTCAATTACTGTGGAGCTCTATGCTTGCTACATTGATCTCCTGGGAAGGGCAGGTAAGCTAGAAGATGCCAGTGAGGTCATTAGCAGAATGCCTATTAAACCTACCAACAGAGTTTGGAGCTCCCTGATTTCTTCTTGTAAATTACATGGAAGACTTGAAGTTGCAGAGCGTTTGGCTCATAGACTTACCAAATCTGAACCTGAAAATGCTGCTAATTATGCTTTGTTAAGCTTGGTATATGCTGAATCTGAAAACTGGCCTGGGGTGGAAGATGTAAGGCGAGAAATGAGAGAAAGAAAACTGAGAAAAAGCTACGGGTTCAGCAGAATTGAGCTACATGACTAGATTTTGTAATCCTTCTGTGCACATAACTCTAAGATGGATAATTATTCTTCCTTTGTCCCATGGCATTCACTGGAAGGGAAGAATATTGAGAAATGGCTAAAACTTGTGATAGGTAAATAGAATTGGATGCTCCTTTATAAGCAGGTCGAAACTTATAATCTATGAGTTTAATTTTTATCACGGAACATGTTTATTATGAAATGATAATATAAACTTATGAGTATGTATTTTTAATAGTTTTTTGAACTTATGAGTATTGTTTAAGATTTAGTTGGAATTTCAGCCTATACTACATTATGTAATCTATAGTTCTTTTTTCTTCTTGGCTTCAAACAACAATCTTGCTTTGTAGTTTAATGCCCTTCAGTCCAGCTAGTAGAAAGAAAGGAAGAAGTGAACTTTCGTTAGTTCTTTAATCTGTTGTATCTATCAGGGCAACTGGGAACATGGGGTTTTTTCCTTTTTCCAAGTCATTTGGAGTACTCATGTTATGTCTTGTAACCTTGTGTTCAATGATTTCCTCAGTTCGTGGGATAGGTGCCAATTGGGGCACTCAATCAATACACAATCTGCCTCCTGATATAGCTGAGGAATGGGTGTCCAACAACATATCTTTCCATCTTTCTGATAACAATGTGAACATCAGGTGAACCTCTCTCACTTGCTCATATTTCTTTCACTTTATGAAAAACAACTATTTACCTTTTGAAAATTACTAGAACTTTTCAGTTTCATAGTTGAAGAAAGAGAAGGACATTTAACAGAATTGTGTCAAATGTTGAACTTGATTATTTCTATCGGAAACAGTCTTTCTACTTTCAAAAGGTAGGGGCAAGGCTGCGTACACACCACCCTCCCCAGACCCCACTTGTTGTTGTTGTTGTTTGACTTGATTATTCCCTCATGCTATTGGAGGTTTAATGTGCACATACTCTAAAGTAGGAAGGAATATCAACATTACATAATTCTATCTTGTGCAGCAAATCAGCACTCCCCATGAGATTTCATTCTCTATTATGATTGTTGTTTAATTTCGTTTCTCACGAGGAGGGAATTAACTAATATGATTCCACTGAACTCATCGTAATCCAGATCGATTATATCCTGTCTTTATTTCTTCTTTCTCTGTTTCTTGTTCTGTTTTGTTCTATGTGTTGTCCATGAGACCAGGATTTCCATTAGAATTAATTTACTAGTTTATCACGATGAAGTATATGGTCATAGACCTCAATGTGTACTTACACTTTCTGACTTTGTAGGTATGTTGCTGTTGGAAATGAGCCTTTCTTGGCAACATATAATGGAAGTTTCCTAAGCTCTACAAAATGTCCAAGCTGCACTTGTAAAAGCTGGCCATGGTAATCAAGTAAAGGTGACTGTCCCCCCTCAATGCCGATGTTTATGAGAGTTCTAGTAGCTTGCCATTAGTTCCAGCTAGTAATGTGAAGAATTTGGAAAATAAATGGTGTGTGCTCAAGCCAGATGCTAAACTTGACGACCCTGACGTTGCGCCTAGTGTGAGTTGTGCAAGCACGTGGTAATTGCACAAGCCTTGGATACAAGACATCGTGTGGAGGCCTGGATGCAAGAGAAAACATTTCATATGCATTCAATAGTTACTGTCAGATTAAACAATCAGGTTGATGAGGCTTGCAAGTTCTCAGGGCTTGGGACAATCACAAAGTCGGATTCAATAGTTGCAGGTTTGGTATCATGATCGAACCATACTATGGAGGCGCAGAACTAAAAATTGGCTGTACAAGGTTGGCAGTGGCTCTGATTCTCTTGCTATGTTGGACAATTTTGTGATGTTAATTTGTATATATCGACTTTGACACTTAGTAAAGTATTTTTACACCATTAGTGTATAATGTACTTAAAGAGGTTATAGCAAGCTAATTATTTTTACACATGTACTTAAGACTGTTGTGCAAAAACTCAACTAGTGGACCATAAGAAGTTGAGAAAAGTATAATACAATATCCTTAACTTGGCTTCAACGGATAACAATGCCCTCCAACTTTGAGTGTGTACAAGTAGACACTTAAACTTGTATAAAATTGAATAAGTAGACACATGCATGACATAATTCACGTAGAACGCCACGTTGGACACAAAATTGCCATGTAGGATGAATGTGTCTATTTGTTCAATTTTATACAAGTTTAAGTGCCTACTTGTGCACACCCAAAGTTAAATGTCATAGTTATTAGTTAACGCCAAGTTAAAGATATGTTTATGTATTGTGCCAAAAGTTTTTACGAGAATAACACTTTATTGAAAGTATATGTGAATAAATAATGGTGTTTAATTATTGTCTTAATATTTAGGACTTTCAAATTAATTAAAATTACAATTATTAATTCTTAATATTTAAGACTTTGAAATTAATTAAAATTTTACTTACTAAATCTCTGCTTATTTAAATTATGTTAATTTTTTAGCTTTTTAGATTTTAAAACTCTACTTTTCCTTATTTGAATTATGTTAAAATTATATTTTTTTCCTTATTTATTGATCTACGTTTCTACGTTTGTGGAGCTGGTGATTTTTTTTTTCTTTTTTCAAAATGTACAAATTTTCAAGGTTTTACATGTACAAGGATCTACAAATTTTCAAATTATTCGTTGCATCTCAATTTACGTGACACGATTGAGATTTCGAGATTTAAATTAAATTTGTTCTTTCGTTTGTAATAAAAGATCATGTGAGACATAAAAGGCAATAACATATTTGAGGTACAATATATATTTATATTATTTAAAGAAATATAACATTTATTTAACATCAATTTTTACTACTTTTTTTTATAATATTATTCTTGTGCATATGATTTTATGAATCCGGCTCCTCTTCATTTATCTTTTCTCCATTTTCCTCAAGTTTCTATTTGGATTTATGACATGACATAAGTTAAATTAAATGACTAAGATTTAATTGCCGTAAATCTCTAATCATAATTTAGTTAATAAATATATTATATATTTGATTTAAAAAATTATTGTAATCCTACAATCTTAGCAACATATTATATCATCCATAAATATAGAAAAAATAGTTCTCATCCTATTTTTTTTTTTATGCATGATCATTTTTAAAAAAATAATCTTTTTATTGCATTTTAGAAGAAAAAAAAAAACAAGAATAAAATAGGAGAAATATATACTGTTTTTTTTTCCCTCATTAGTTAGCAATTTTAGTCTTTTAAAACACTGAAACTTTTGTATAATTTATATTAAAGTGATATTATAGTTACAATATTCTTTCTTAAGAAGCATCAATCTCAATAAAAATTTATCACAAAAACAATTTTTTTTGCAACACAAATAATGAAATTCCTCTTCCTTTGTGATCAAGAAAATATTTTAACCTTCATTTCCCATTCAAACAAAAATATGGACAAAATAATCTTTCACTTTCCTGTATTTTTCTTCATTATTTGCTGGGAAGAAAATCATTTTTTTTACTTTCCTCCTTCAGCTCTCCAAACTTCCCGTCCACAACTAATTTAAATCATATTGTCAGGATTCTTGATGAATGTTTGAATTTAAATGATTCAGATTATTTAGTGTATTGTATATATTAAGATTTACACATTTATTTTGATTTGAATAGGTTTTAGTTATTAAGATGTTCATAATCATAAAAAATTTGAACAAAGTTTTAATATAAGAGGTATTTTTTTGTTGCTAACTTTTGCCATTACTCACATATTTCACCACTAATCACCTATGTCATTATAATCATTATCAACCATCACCATCATTAATCATCTCTATCACTTGGAAACTGTCACTACTGTCAGTCGTTACCACATATATCACCTTCTTGGCTTCGTCATTATCCTGTTGCCATCTTTGCCATCACTATCAACAACTATCACCTTATGGTCAATCTATACTACTAACCACTTCGATCGTTATAACTAGTACCACCGTCGACTACCACCACACATTCTTCATTTGCTATCACCATTATTAACATGCACCCCCACTTCATCATCATCACAACAACCACCACTATTACTGATTACCACTATCACACCAGTCACTACAATACTAACAATCTTTACCTCACAACTATTACATCACTATCACTAGCCACTAGTATCAAGTTATCAACCATCAATCCACCATCACTATCAATCCTAAGTATTCAGTTTTTTTAATCAAATAATGATTTTATTTGAATGAATTTATATTTTTTTTTATTAAGATTTTATATTTATTATACTTAAAGATAAATAAACTATGTACATTCATATATTGAAAAATAAACAGTCATAATCAACTAGTGTTCAGATCTATAAATAATTTTTTAATTATTTAAATATGTATTTAAATTCAAATATGTTAATTTAAAAAAAAACAAACAAAACCTTTGGGGATGTAATTTAAGAAAGTAACTTAGCTTATCTATTGTGTATGTGTAGGTACCTGTAGAAAAATATTATCCCAAAATATTAAATTAATAACTAAAGATTACATTGTTAAGGATATTCAAAATTTATGCTTGACTAATTAGATGAATGTATTTCTCTTATATTAAATTAATTTAAGTTGTCAATTAAGTAATTAGTATTGGGATAAAAGTTCTATTAAATTATAGGTGAAATTCCTTGTTAAAAATTATCATATCAAATTTATTTGATTAATTAGATAATTTTGTTTTTTAATACGTTAAAAGCTAGGTGAAATGAACATGGTATAACAACAAAATTTAAAGAGAACCTTACATATGTTATATTAATATTAAGAAAATATTTATAATTTATAATAATAACATTTTTTTTATCGAACAATTATAGTACATTTATAATATAGTTTCAATACATATTATAGAGAATAATTTATAAAACACATTTAATATAATTTTTTTTGATAAATAATACATTTATCACTTTAATACACATACAATATTGTGTCAATTTTTTACCAAGCAAGTATATATATATCATTAAAACACTTATAATACATTTATATTACATGCATAATTCACTTTTAATATATATTGTAGTCTGCAGATTTATCATAATATTGTTATGTATTATTATAATGGTAACAAACAAAATAGTGTCGCTAAAATCCATAATTATTTATTAAGAAATACTTACCCAAATAATTTTTCCTTTTAATTAAAAAAAGAAGAAGTATTATAACTTGAAATATAACTGAGTTAGTGCAATATGTGATATTCCATTATAAGAAAAGTCAAAAATCCTATTGAATTTGCTTAATGTAATTTATATATCTTGTTATGTAATAAGTGAGCTATTGCATTTATTTAATATCAACCCAATAAATAGCTATGAATTTTCTAGATTTTTTTGGAATAATGTACAATTGTGTGTATAAGAATAAAGTAAAAAGATGAAAAGGTAAGTTGGAATAGATAAAGAAAACAAAGTTTATCAATGGAAAAATAGACCAAATTCCGTTATCCCTATTCGCTTTTCGCTTCACTCCAATTGGCCCCATTCACCCTAAATACTGACAATTTCACCTTCAAGTTATCAGATGAACAATAGCTGAGAGCAGGTTGGGGGTTCCATTTTCTTTATATTCTTGTGCTTGCTGTTAAATTCTCTCTTGTTGAATCTTGGTCATCTCATCAGTATTTTCCCAGCTCTTCAATGATGTATTTGTTGGTGCTTTTCCTCTGAATGCTTCTTGGAGTTACATCTTTACTACTGCCCTATGAGTCTGAAAAATGTTGTCTACCATACATGTCCTTAATGAGCACTTCAATGGTCTTAGGTCAAAATTTGCTATCTTTCAAGAAAAGTAGTTCGGTATTTGTGCATAAAAGTTGTATTACTGAGGCTCGCTTTAGTTGGGGGAGGAGGAAATCTTTTGGGTCGACTCCAAATGCAAAGAAAAAGTATTCAAAGAAGAAAAGCTGGTGGAGAGAGTTGTTTTTTGTTGAAAGTGGGAATTGGCTGGGACTGAGGGAGGATGATATGATTGATGGACTTGAATCTGAAGGTTTAGGTAGTGATGATGAATTATCAGAGAATGAAAAGTTTGAAGCTTGGAAGAGACGAGCCGAGGCAATCATGGAGTTAAGGGAAGCACAAGAAGATATAAAGAATGAGGAGAATAGGAAGTGGGACGATTGGCTTGTCGATGTAAATGTTGATTTAGGTAATGATTCATCATGGGTTCAGGAGTCCATTGGAGTACCTGAAGATAACATTCTGGAAGATCCTAGTGAATTAATACCTGGGAGGGGTTTGGTTAAATCCGTGAGGGATATGATACTTGGCAGGGAAGAAGATGATATGCTATATGAAGATCGTATTTTTCAGTATGCTTCATTTAATTCTGTAAGTGCATTTGTTCTCATTCTCATCTTGATTCCCCCCTCAAATTAGTCCATAATCTTTAGTGTCTCTATGGTTCAATTGGTGAACTTTTTGAGAAACCTATTACAATGTGGAATAGTTAGGTCCAAGAATTGCATATGCAAAAGCTCCTTGCAATTCACTACCAAAATGGTGCACTGACCATATGGTAATTGGGTATTTTCAATACCTCAAGAAGGGTTTATGTAATAGCTAAGGCTGCCAAAATGAAGGTAACAAAGCTGAGGAGCTTCTGCATGTCGATTTATTTTCCTTGGATTTATTCTAAAGATTATGAATGTAGAAACATCTAACACATCTCATATTGTCATGTCCTGAGCACTTAGAATTATCTGGGTATTGTTGTTGAGCACTGAGAATCGCCAAACGTTGCATCTGAAATGTACTCTTAAAGCTTTTTATTAGGAGCGATTTTTCTCTTCCTGTTGCAGGCGAAGTTCTTGGCATTGCTGATAATTGTCCCATGGGCTTTGGATTTTGTAGTTCATGACTATGTTCTTATGCCTTTTCTTGACAGGTAACTTCTGCTTGGATTTATTTACTGTCTTTTGGCTACATTTTCGAAGTGATTGATGTTTGAT